GAGCATATATGCAAATAAAGTTTAAATAAAAGGAATCAAGTTTTTTTATTTTTTCTTGCCCTTGTTGTTGTTGTTTGTTTTTTTACTTTCAGGGTTTTTTTGGCCACAATCGCAGTCAAATATTTATAGTATTAAAAAATTGTCGGGGAGGGTTTTTCTTTCTTTTTTTTTTTTGTATATATATAAAAAATACCTTAAAAAATACATTATCGCTAAATTTAATTAGTATATTAATTAGAAAGTCAAGTGAAACGAAATTCCCTTTTTATGCATTTCGTTCGTCAAGTTCTCATATCAAGGCAACGATAATAATGCGAATAATTATTCAAATCAAAATTCAAATCTGCGATTTGTGTATACATACTAAGCCATTGTCTAAAATTGATATCAAGGTTTGCACAGAGATGCTCTCGCAATTAACTTATGCCGGTATTAACATGATTCCTAGCATATTCCAAGACATTCTTTTTGCCTTCTTGAAAACTATAAGTCCGAAAATGAATTACGTAGGATGTGGGAAAATTTCTTTTGAGTATAAAGTGCTTTCACATATGAAGAAATGCACTGAACTGCAGTTATTTCATAAAATGCACAAAATACTCCTCTATGGGAGCTTTCGCTTGAAACTGAAATATTTCTTACGAGAGTCAACATACCAGCTACAAGTAAGTAAGTAAATGAGTTCGCAGTTTTTCTCGTACAGTGTCCATGTGATTTCTAGTGTAATATGGTATGAGAAGGACAAACACTCTTTTAATTAATTTAATGGCTATGTTTGAACGCCGTCGTGCGAATTATCTTCTCGTGATAGCAGAGGAAGAAATTGCCGCGTTTTCTGCCCGGCTCTAGCAAAAAGACCGTGCAAGTTTCTTGGCAAGAATGCCTTTTGCACGCCTTTCGTATATGAGCTTTCATTGAAATTGACATCCTTCCAAGGAGAGCCAATATATGGATTATAAGATCTCCAGTGATGCTGCCCATGATATTTCGATTATAATATGAACTGACTTATTAAGAATTCGTTAAGAGCTAATCCCTTTTTTATCTCTCTGTAGAACCCTTTGAGAAGAAAGTTGCACTATCTTACTTAAGTACCATTTAAACTGTAACCCGATTTCAAAAAGGAGACAAAAAGTGAAGAACGCCCTGATGGAAAAAGGGTTGAGTGGTCCGATTTCTTTCAAAGCGCACTCGTTTTGGGACCGTACAGCCGCATATGTACCGATTTGTTCTGGGCAGCAACTGCGGTACTCAGCGAACTTGCACCCTGTTACCGCAACGAATTCATAGGATGTTTGACAAATTAATCTTATGATTAAACTTTGTTTGCATAAAGATGATGATTTTGCTCTTCAATGCAAATATACACAGATAGGAAAAATAAAAGTCTTCAACTTACGTGCGCTGCTTCTAATCTATAGGTTCCACTAAATGTTTAATACGTGTGATCTTTTTCAGTGTACACATATGCACATATGCACGTAGAAGATGGAGACAAAGTTGACTTTAGTGCATTTGATATTCGTCACCTGAAAAATACAGTACAGACACGTATATAGATATAGATGCAAATAAATATAAATATACTGCATAGGTAAATATTACATTTAAGAGACATACTATATTATACGATACATATATTATATTATAATTAGACTATACTTATATTATATTACACTTAAGACATGTATATTTACATATTTCTATATATATACACCTTTACATCTTTATATACATATATGAACGTTGCCAGGTTCGTGAGGCGAATTTCAAATTTATGAAAAATTGATTATTTTGTTGGGTTATGCAACTATTCTGTCAATGTGAATTACCATAGTTAATAATATTATATTCTATCTATGTTTAATTTTTATAAATTTTTTGCTGTTAATTCTTTATCAATTAATTACTATTTCAATTCTCGGTCAAACAAAATCTATTATCATATAACTCACTGCAAATTATTCATACTTAAGTATTAAGCCAATTTATTATAAGCTGTTTAAAAAGTTTGTTTCTTAAGTCTTTCGTTTTTCTATTTTTGATCTATTTATCGTACATTACTTATTAACGAAACATTGAATTATACTTAAATGAAAAAATAATGTGATTGGCAATGCGGGTGAATTATAGTCACAAGAAAATTAGAAAAGGATTAATTCAGGCAATTCTTGGATATCTATCGTGTCAATGGCATTGCCACGAAATAAAAAGAGGAAACCTTTTCAAATGTTGTTGATAGTCCAACGCGATACCTTTTAGGTAAATGTCATAGGAAAGAGAATTAATGAGCACGGACGGGTTGTAATCGATGAAAATAAAGGATCCGTTGAATTCTAAGGACGTTAGGTCTTCTCTTCGATATTTATTTTCTTTCTAAATCTCTTTGATGTAGCCACACTTACAATGGTATGGCTCGGTTTCTACATATCTGAGTAACGTGTGCGCGTTTAACCCAACATCAACGAAGGATGAATATAAGAATTTGTCAACAAGTGATACAACTGGAAGATGTTATCACTCTATAACGGTCTATTCAATCAATTTTTAAGAATTTAACTATTTTTCTGCACACCGATGCTTATCGTATAGATCTTTTTTTTACTGCAACGGAAACACTCTCAACCAAATCAAAATAATTTAAATAATTTTAACTATTTCATGTGCATTTATTCGAATCACGTTCGCCATACCACAAACGTTAGGGCAAATTAAATAATTTTATTTAGCTTCTTCTTTTTTATGCTTCATTTTGTGTAAAATAAATAATTGTCAATAAAAAAGAAAAAGAAACATTGAAACGACCTTTACGATAGATATGTCTGCGCAAATGTGTTCGTCAATATTTTCAACTTGAAATTTATCGTTAATTTGCCTTGGATTCGCACGTATAAATATGTAAACTTACGCTATCAATGTTGATTGTTTTTTGCACATGACAACAAATTACAATTAAATCTATTAACTGACGCACACTTGGTTATATACTGCGATAATGGCCTAAATATTTTGTGTTTTCCATGTATTAGAATTATGTAAATGAATGTAAACTTGCCGTCTGCCATCGTACAAGTAATTAATAAATGGATCATATATCGTCAAATTCATACTAAAGATTAGATTTAAAAAAAAAATGTCCATTCATCATGGCCAACTGAATTTTTGGTGGTTAAGCAATTTTGAAAAATTACTTTCACGATTGGAGATCAGATTAGTTTCTAAATGTGTCCTGGAGGCAAAATATCATCCTTTCCACAGAAGCTGAACTAGAGTGGATCATCTTTAAAGATGTCGCCTATGCGATAGGAATCCATCAGAAATTGTCAAAACCAAAACCACCTAACGAAAGCGCTTTGTTTTCTGCCGGACTTTAAAAAAAGACCGCACAACTTCTTAGGCAGAATGTGTTCTGTAAGCCTTGAGACCAGCTACTAATATAAAAAAGTTCGATGGAATTATTATGGAAGTATGTTTTTGTCGAATGCCGACCGCTAGCTTTCATGACCTAGGCATACTCTTAATTAAAAAACGACTTCGACGACGTAAGGAAAGATTCTGCCATATTGCGCGGGGCTTTAATAAAACTTAATCTAGTCTAACGTATTTCTTTTACAATAAAAATAAAGAAAGTGCAACGGTACTCTTCCTTACTTCGACATAATTCTTCTGTTTTTCTCCCTTCTCTCGAGTCGTTATTAACGGCTTCTTGTGCACAACAGAGGACCCTATCTAGCTATTTGCAGTCGTCAGCACCTTATGTCATTCGTTTCCCTTTAGTAATCCTTGAGCATCAGGCAGCAAGAGCAATGCTGCATGATATGTGATGCACAAAACCGGGATCTCAAAGGGTTAAAAGGGTACATTTCAATGCCACCAAAAAACAAAAAGTGATGAGCAATCACTCTCTTTAGATGTGTTAGGGTAGAAGAATCGGCGACCTTTGATGTTCTGGTCATGGGAATACAAAATTACGTTCGTTGGTCGAAGTGTCAAAAGACGCAGTCAAGAGGCTTGAGTTTTTTAAAGTAGTGCAAGAAATATTCGGCCTATATTCGGCCAAAAATAGACTGTAACTTAAATTTGGGGACAGGAGCAAGGAAAGCTTGGCGGCCCACGATCGCGAACAGCGAAGGGCTCGGCTGCTCATGGACGACGAAATTGTGTGTTCAGAACTCTCGATACTCTTGAGCATCGGCGCAATTTTGGTTGTGTTGCGCTTATGGCCAAGTGTTCTACGGAGGTAAACGAGGTATGTTTACCAAGTAACTGCTTCCACAGGACTACACGTCTTTCTCAACGTTATTACTCACCCGACAGGTCGTTTTTAACAATACCCTCTCTCTTCACCCCACACTATCTACAACCCTTCCTGACCAGCTGATACAGTGCCCGCACCTATAGGGTGCATAAACTGAGTGGCTGGTCTTACTTAAGTAGTCCAACTTAAGTATATTATAAACCATGTTCAATTAATTGAATTCTTAAGTCTTTCCGAAAGCGAAATCTTAAACTGGCAACGCAGATATGTATATATGTAGACATGTTCTCCTGAATCATAATTCTTTTTGAACCAATTTTGGCTTTTTTATTTTTTGTTTTAAGCAAATATACCACAAATCAAAAATTGTTTTCAAATAAATTTATAAAAAAAAAAAAAAAAAATCAATATCCGGCAGCTTAAGTATTTTAAGCAGATTTTTTTCTTACTCGCAATGAGTAGGTTAAGCAGAAGTTTTGCATACCTTATGGTACATGAATATGTACCACAAAAAGTCTACACTACACAATGCAGCAAACTCAAACCAATCAAATGTATGACTCAGTAGCTTTATAAGCTGATCAAGTTCAAACGTTACGCTAAGATATGATTACGTCACACAGAGTGCTATAATTACATTTATAACAATTGAAAATCTTACACGTAACCGATGCTGTGCGTAGTTTTTTCTCTGAGCGGGTAAACACGTTTATTTTACCGTATAAAAGAGTCACAACAGATCTGTATTTTATCATAATCTCTTTGGCATTTCAATTAATTAGATGCAATAACGCTTCACAACAGAAAGCAACAGAAAAATGGATTTAAAGGTAAACACAAAAACGTCAAAAATATTATTTCAATATTCTTCTTATTATCCTGGAGTACAACTTTTCGTTTCCAGTTAATCATCATTTCGACTTTGCTTGTCGTCGCCACCAATGCTGGTCTAATACCAACTGATCATATTTACCATAATCCTGTATCTGTAGCGACTCATCACGTGTTGAGTAAGCCTTCAGAGGAATACGATTCACATCCGCAGTACAAATACTCTTACGATGTACAAGATTCTGTTTCGGGTGATTCGAAAAGTCAAGTTGAAGAGCGCGACGGGGACGTTGTGCGCGGAGAATATTCGTTAGTGGATTCAGATGGTTTCAAACGAACCGTTCAGTACACAGCCGATTCGGTTAATGGTTTTAATGCTATTGTAAATCGTGAGCCATTGGGTAAAATTGCTGCTTCTCCTGGTTTAATCAAAACTGTAGGTCCTGCCATTTCGCCCGCTACTATTGTCAAAACTGTAGCAGCTCCTGTTGCTCACTATAGTACAGCACCGGTTTATCACGCCGCTCCAGCTGTATACCATACGGCTCCATCATCGGTTGTGAAAACTCTTACACCAAATACTCATTACGCAACACAAAACATTCATTATACAGCTCCTGCTCTTTATAAAACCCTTACACCAATTAGTCATGGTTCCGCTCCTGTTGTTGCTCCTGCCTACACCACCTACACCGCTCCAGCTACTTACATTGCCCATCACTAAATAAAATTTTGCATTTACGTTTTCCTCATTTATGTAACTACTGACCTATTTTGTTATTAACACACACGAACGATTATTGAAATAAATTAATTACTATCCAAACTGAATGAATGAGTTGCCTGCCATCAATTGCAAAAGTCTTAGACTAATTTTAAAAATTGAAAAGGAATTATTGATCATTTAAGGAATAAGCTTCGGCCTGCCTTAGTATGTAATTCACTCAGACTTTGTCTTTTGGCAACACTAAGCTTGTGTCCTTTGATGCTTCCATTGAAAAGTTTAACGTTCTTGACCGTGGTCAGAACATTTAGTCAATTAAGGACGACTTGTGCAGCTGGCAGTGGCTTGAAACTTACGCCTCAGCAGAAGAAGAGAAGAATTAAGTTATAAAAATTTTCGTGCGATGATCTTTTCACGATTTTCGATCTGCATGATCGGGACATGTGTGCACAGATCAACTTGCCTCCACGCTTTAGCAATGAGGCTGCATTATCGATCGCAGTAACTAATGTATTTGAATATATTTCCACCAAAAGTTGGATTTGTCTAAATTTTTTTGTGCTTATTGTCGGTTGGAATTACGGAAATGCCCGAAATCACATCACTTTGTCGTAGTTAAGAAATTCATAAATCATAAAATACTAAAGTGATTTAACGGAAAGAATGAATTAAACCTGGGCATCGAAATACTATAATAAAGAATTCGACAAAGAAGTCGACATTGATTCGCATAGATTAGTCATCAGAAATTTTATACTTCATTAGGGACATCGGATTGTAATTATAAACGTGGGAAGATAACAAGAAGTCCCGGGAAGAAGGAGAAGGCGAGTGGACTAGATAGACCCCGGTTTAGGATCCAACAAGGTTTTTAATAACACATGCTTTGTCATTGTCGCTTAAAAATTTTCTCGCCCATCATTTTATTACACGCTACACGATTTGTCGCGCAAGTGTATACAGAGTTTGCGTGGTTATATACAGCACCGAGAAGGACTTGGGATAGGCCCATTTTTAAATCAGTCTAAACTTGTCCTTCTGTCTATCGGAGCTGTATTATTATGCCCAACATGTGAGAGCTTTTCAGATATTTTGATGAAGTTTGGTATACCGACAGGTTTTTTGGTCCAAGAACGAACGCTACTGGAAATGGTTCGAATCGAACTATATTTTCGATCACTACCCATACAACGACTTATTTTTAAAAGTCATTGCTTGAATAACTATAGGTTGGCGTGGACCGTAGCTCACTATAGTATTTCTGCTTGCTTTTATTGAATAGGATTTTGATGCTTACAAAGCATGATACGCTTCCCGCAGTATATTTTTAGGAAATTATGCTTTCTTTAGTCTCGCAAGATTTTTAATAAGAAGCGATCAACATAAACAGGTGCTGGTTGAGGAAGAATCCGATCTAAATCGAATATTCACAAGAAAACCGATGATTTGTGATTACTATACGAAGGTCAGTTCTAAGTATAACTGGCTCGCCATATAACTGGCTCTTTCATGCAGAGCATAGAAAGAAGAAAGATTCCAGTTATTTCAATATTTATTTACGCATAATGCCAAAATAAAATATCTTGAATCTTACCATCGTTATATTCACACATACTCTTTTTGAATATTAATTAAAAAAAAAAAAAACTGTACAACAATCATTGAATATTAATAAGGTGGACTATCAATGATACCTCAATCACCTATAAATTGAGACCATCGCAAGTTAAGAAATACATTCAAAGTTTTGATAACGAAGTGTGAAGAACAAAATCGAATACATCAAGAATGGTTTGCAAGGTGGGTTGAAAACGCAATCAGAAAAAACGGATAAGAGGATTAAATTGTGATTGATAAAAACTTTAAATACATGATAAACCGTTTAATGAAATCATTCATCAATGAATGATAACAACAATGAACAATGGGATAATTGAATAATTAAAGAATTGAACAATTAACTACAAGGATGAAAGAAGTGCAACACAATTCATTAAAGGATTAAAAAAATTTTATTACATAAAAGTGATCTTAAGCTACATTTGGCATAAAAGCAACTACTGTGGTAAACCGCAGCATTGCCTTAAATTCGATTAAAATTTTTAAAAGATTATAAAAACTTTAAACTTTTACTAAACCTACGTTAATTTAATCCCTATAATTCTTAAACAAGCAAAGTATCGCCTCATTATATATATAATTTTTTTTTTTTTCTTGTGCAGTTCGTGTTAACTCTTACTTTGATCGCTGCCGCTAATGCTGCCGTAGTAGTGCCGGCAGCACCTGTTTTAGCCAGGAATGTTGAACTTGAGGAATACGATCCACATCCTCAATATAGATACGGTTATGATGTGCAAGATACCTTGTCCGGAGATGCGAAAGGTCATGTGGAAGAACGAGATGGTGATTTGGTTCGCGGCGAATATTCGTTGATCGATGCTGACGGCTTTAAGCGTACTGTGTCTTATACCGCTGATGATATTAACGGTTTCAATGCCGTTGTACGCCGTGAACCGCTTGCAGTAGCTGCTCCCGTAGTTGCCGCTGCTCCAATAATTAAAACTGCTCCTCTTGTCGCTGCTGCCCCAGTTGTGAAAGCTGCTCCTCTCGTAGCAGCCGCGCCAGCCGTGAGATCAGCTCCTCTAATCGCTGCCGTTCCTGCCGTTAGAGCAGCCCCTCTAATCGGTGCCACTCCTGCTATTAGAGCAGCTCCTCTAATCGCTGCCGCTCCTGCTGTTAGAGCAGCTCCTCTAGTCGCAGCCGCTCCTGCCGTAAGAGCAGCTCCTCTAGTCGCCGCCACCCCAGCTGTAAGGGCAGCTCCTTTATATGCACCAGCTCCTTTTGTGAAGGCATCTACACCTCTTGTAGCTCCTGCCCCAATAGTTAAATCTGCTCCTCTCCTAGCTGCTCCTGTCAATTATTTTGCTCCAACATTTGCTGTTAGACATTTCTAATAAGTAGAACTTATTATGTTTTCGTCAACTGCTGTGGAATATTTTGTTGTTTTGCTATAATTTTGTTAATTAAATGTGATAATAAAAGTTTTTAATCAGAAAAAATTGATTTGTTTTAGTAACTTAAGTAAAAGTTCACACTATAGCAATCAAAACCGTATATGTGCTGCTCGTACCTCATTTACTTAAATAATTGCAATCACTTTGAAAAAGAGTAACAAAATTTGTGTATAGAAATAGTTTCCCGCAGCGAATATTAGAAAATATCAGAAGTATTGAGCCCAATTATTAAGAGAGATTATATTATTCATTTGTGTTAATCAATGTGAATAAGATTTGAAAGGATTAAATAAGTACAGACAGCGTTTGCTACGCTGTATCGAAACCGTGTTACACGCAAGCTTTCTATTTTTTTATTTGCCCTAAAACTTCACATAGAATAACGTAATTTAAACTTACATGTGATGCAAGTCAAAAAAAAAAAAATGTACCGTGACATGCCTCCAGTATATGTAGTATAGTATAGGTGTACGTCATCCACATAAATGTGCACCTTGCTGTGGGCTACATATCTTGGTAAAGCGTTTACGTACAGCCTACTAAATATAAGAATTTTACAAGACAATACCGTAGACAAAAGCAAACGCACACAATGAGTTAAACAAGGAAAATATAATCAAATAATCAGTAAAAAAATTCTTGTTTCAGCAATGACTATAGAAATGTAAAGATTTGATTTAAGGAGAGGAGCCGATCCGATGAATAAACCACTGAAGATATTAGCTTCGCTTTTCAGTTTGCTTATATGGAAGCGACCAAATAATCAGCTTTTAAATTTCGTGCATGTTTAATACGTCATCTCTTTGACAATTGAGTTGTGCGTTAATGAATTTATTTGTACTTCAAGTTGTTAATCCTCATAATGACCTATAATTATACGTCATATTACGCACTTTTGAAAGGTAACATAATATTTTTTTAAGATTTTTGTCCCTTCTTTTTTTTGTACATAAGAGAAAAATTAATATAAGTTTTGGTCGAATATTTTTGTGCCTATCATTTAAACTTTTCTTGTTGGTTGAGTACAGTGGGGGAAGAGTAAGTCCGAAGAGTAAGTTCGAGTAATGTTATGTGTACATAATTAACGGCGAGTGTCTATTTAGGCTTAACAACGACACCAGTTGCGAGGCAATCCCGGCATTGAATAGCTCTTTGCAAGATACCCCGTCGCCTTTAAATTTTGAAAACCATTAATTGCTTTGGAAATGTTGCAAACTAATGTCTGCTTGTGTTTATAAAAATTAGTTCTATTTTACTTTAATATTACTTATGATAGATTTGTTTGCATAGTGTGTTGAGTTTTTGTCTTCTCACAAAGACGTTGAGTGAGCCAGTACGCAGAGAAGTCAACTCTTGATACCTGGCCAGCCTAAAATTTTGGATCAACGTAGCTTTGCCCGCTTGCCAATCCGTTTCTCTATCAGTCTTTCTTAACTTTCTGACGGAAAGGTCATTAACCTGGAAGCTAATCACTTATGAAAAATGTAAACAACACTTAAGTTTTAACTACGTGATTATTCCTCGCTTTCTCGTTAGTTGCAAAAAATTAAATTTGGAAATGTGACCGTTCCGTCAACGATCACGTCCATAGTAAGCAAAAAACTCTTGAACCTCTATGAACTTGGAGGAAACGTTTAAAGGGACGACTCAGTATTTTTGAGCAAGAATGAATGCGGTCAGCCTTCAAAAGACGCTGTCAAAATAAGCATAGTACGCACAAACCGTTACCAAAAACCTTTGCGAAACATTGTTTGTCCGTCTGTCCCCGGCGAATGACGCAGTTTTCAAAGCGCGCACCATATCTTGATTCCTCGCGGTAAAATGTAATGATCCTTATGTCGATTGGATTCCAAGATCGTAGAGCGTTTTTCTTTGTAAGTATCCGCAAACGTTAATTCATAGCTTGATCATAACATCGCCTAAATATTTCTGGAATCGTAGTAGTGACCGTATGTACCTCAAATATCAAGATTCATATATGAAATGTTTTGCACTCTGTATATAAATATCTAACCGATCTTGAGTAAAGCCAAATTATTAGCGACTATTATTAGAAAAAATATCATGTTTAACATAATTAGCAGAGAATACAGCAAGTAGATGGCTTCTGGCGTTTAACTAATAGTTTAGTTAATAACAAATTAGTCGTGACACATGAAGCATGTCATTGTCGTTTATGTTTCACTTTTATCAGCAGAGAACTTATTAACCAATTTGCAAAGAAATATGTAGCGCTTACGCACTTTCTCGTAATACGAGAGAACAACAGGTAGTAAACAACGAAATGTATGTATATGCTATGGTTTAAAATGAACCTCTCCTTTTTGAATGTGAAAACAAAAAGCAATAAAAGCAAAAAAGAAAAAAAATGAATTAAATTAACGCTAAATGAGCACACACAGCATGAAATTGATACTTGCGCCAGGTTCAGCTACAGGAATAACATTTCATGTATACATGTGTTGAAATTGCGTGGCATTCAAAAACAATTTAAAGATTAAAGGTTTCGCATGCAAAAATACAAAACGAACGCAACGACTTTAAACAAATAAAGCAGAAATTTTACTACTACTACTACTACTACTACTACCAAATGTCATTGATCAAAAATTCTCATATTAAGGGTTTACTCCATTCAAAGGTAAATTTACGACTTTAGAAACATATTTAACGCGATCGGTCAAATCCTGTTTTGGGGAAAATAAATCTCAGTTGATTTCCAGAAGAAATGATCAGCAAAAATTCTAAGGCCAGCTTACTAAATACGTATTTTTATATAAATAGATCCGAAGCTAACTAAATTACGTTTTATTTTCCTTTGCTTGCTGGTTTTGAATTTTATTGTCCTATTGTAATCTACTCTTTGCTTCTAACATTTTTGTATATTGCTTTGTGGCCAGGGCTAATATATTCATATACCAAAAGCAAGTAGCCTCCGTTAACCTTAGCGTTTTTACGAAATGTAAAGCATATTTTCAGACAAAGAACCTTTTATTGAAACGTTAAAAACTACTATGTATAGGGCATTAACGCATCAACCTTAATCAACTATAAAGTTTTCACTTGTTTTCCTAAAAAATGATATAAGATAACAACCATATAAAGGGTCAAGCGAGTGTTTCCCTTCGCTTTGTTTTCTTTTTTTCTTTTTTTCTTATTCTTCTTCAACCTATTTACAGTCTTTTAAAATTTAATGTTTCTGTCGCCTTAATTTATCATTGCGAAATAATAACAATATATACATACATCATGTAAGTAAAGCCTCCAGAGTTTCTATATTGAAGGTTTGCAGTCCAACATTTGAAGGCAGAGAAATGATTGAACAGACTACATACCTTTACAGCTGCATTGCTGGAATTTACGTTGCTTTCGGTCGTGCCCATGTCGAATTAAACGCGTGTAAAAAAAAAAATAAATAAAAAAAAAACAGTTAAATTATCTTCAATTTTTTTGTTTTTTTTTTTTCGACAAACTGAGTGTTAAGGTCAAAGTCAGGTTTTATTATTTACTGGTAAATAACAGTTTTTGAATGCGAACATTTTTTTTTTTTTTCTTTTTTGAAAAATCATTCAAAACCAAATTAACTTGAAAAAACCAAAATTATGGATCATTATATCGAAAAGATGAAACAATTTCGAGTGTAAATATTCGATAAATTAGTTATGCATGTAAATGCGTATAAAATTTATCGAATTAATCAATATGAAAACTACTGTTTAATGGTATGTGAGCTTTGGAAGAATGAGAATATATTAAATTAAGCCAGCCTTTCTATAATCGTCACATACTTATATTATTTATCTTCAATTCATGTTCTGAGATCATTTACACTTAAGCGTAGTTACTCGACTGTCTGCATTTGTAGTAAGTAAGCAAAAGGTTTTTGCGAAGAACTTAAAAGAATTTTCACAAAAACGCTTATTATAAGAATAAGTAATGAGTTCATCGCGTACTCCTTCAAAAACGTATGCTAGAACTTAACAGATGCAGAACAAGCTATGATGTAAGTAAGTGAAGTATCGCATGGATTGGTAACAAGATAACTGATAGCACTGGATTTTATTACTTTGTATCAGTACACACTTAGTTTGAGTATAGTCACCAAACTGGATCAAAGGCACTTCCAACAGGAGCCCCATTAACAAGCGATCATAAGATTAAAAGGATACTTCGGATACTTCGTCATTTGGATACTTCGTCATATCGGTTCATTAGGCAATGAGAAAGCTGATCGACCGGCGAAGTTTATTCCTTATGCACTTCTAACTATTGACAATATCGTGGAGAAAGTGAACCTTCAAACTTTTCAATTATTAAAACCATGCCATTGGAAACAACTTACCCTATGGACATCCCAAAAGCGGCTAAGGAGTGCAATATCACTTTAATACATTACTTTATTAAAGCTACTAGACTCAATACCTAATTTGTCTACGTTATTAGAGCTCAATATATTTCCTTTCAGTTTAAACATATTTGTCATTAGTTTAAAAACATCACAATAATAATAAAAACAATAATGAAAGCTAGTTAGCAATTCCAGGTATTATGGGCAGTGATTGGGAGATAAAGTGTAACAGCATCACACATACCAGCAGCACGTCTCTACTTGAGGCAGACCAAGTCTTTAACTAGACCGAAGAATGTCAAACCGAAGCCATTTAAATACCTTTAACTTCCAAACCATAACGAAAGATAGTAAAAACAAATTAAGCCAAGAAGTTTGAGGGGCTCGAGTTTAGATAGAAGGCAAATAGATTTATCAACAGATCTTGCTTTCACAACAGTCCAGTGCTTGGTCAAATGTAATTGTAATCATTCGCTATGAAACGAATCGAATGGGAAATGTCGGACTTAGCAAAATCATTAATACCAGCTGCATAGAATATCTAGCAGATCGAGAAGCATTTGAGAAAGAAAGCCGTACCGTAGGCGAACACGTTACACTAAATGCTTCTATTCTTTAATAAGCCTTTATTTTTGTTAGGGAAAAATTCAAGTTACCTAAGAAATCAAAGTGTAGTGGAAATATATAATATTTATATATTATAATAGCCTTTGCTCGAATGAAGCGCTGGAAAAATGATCCGATCCAAAAGTGTTCTCTTTGGGATCAAAGCATCTCAGTGTACTAAATTTCGTGAAAATATGTCAAAAATCACGGCATACGGGTATTGGTATGTGTAGGAGCGCTATAGTGGAGATAGGATAAGGCTACAGTGTTGGAGTGCTCGGAAAGTGATTCCTTTTCTTTTTAATCAAAATTAAAGACGATTTTTTTCTAATCGATACAATATATGGACTAATATTCATTAGGCTCAACCTGACTTTCTCGCAGGTGGTACATTCTCAATGTCAAAGCTGTCGGAACTGGTCTTCTCTCAATACATTTGCTTTATATACATTCAATAATTTTTTCTTCCTTAAATACCATTTTTACTTTATCGATAATAAAAAAATAAAATATGCCGCATTATTCTGCTTTCGCCACACACACACACGCAACATAAGTCTTGCCATGTTAGCTATTACAACGTATTGGCTGCGAAAAAATGCAATAAACTTACGGTTGGGAAAAGACACGACATGACTTTTCGACTAACCTAATAGTATCACTACCAATTACGCAACAGAAGCCGTGTATTGTAAACTCCGTAAAATGCTAAGCTTTCCCAATTCCCAATCAGTAGTACGCTGCCCTGATGTCTGTCCATTTATTTACAGTTTGATATCTTTACATATATACTGTTCACATAAATATGAACGCTTATATATATATGTATATATATATACTTCTTGTTATTTTGAACAGTAGATACACAATACAACAATAAGGTGAAAGGTTCGATAAAATATCTACAAAAGCTACAAGAAATTATTTCAACATGTATGGGTATGTGAGCAACAATATTCAACTTTGTAGGTCTTTTGCGGGCGCATGTATGCCTTCACATAGTTTAATAATATTGTTTCACTCAAAACAAATGACGGACTGTCCAATTAACCGACTGACATTCATTCTTTTCCTTTCTTTTTATGCCTACCACCGCACGTAGAGAGGGATTACGCGTTTCGTTAGTCTACTTATTTTATCATATTGTTCATGCAAGCAATGTGTTAATTTTATATGATCGACGCTCAACGACGTTCAACGCTCTTAAATTCAGTTTATCTTAGTAGTTATCGAGTAAAGTAAATGATTTGAAAAACTTTATCTTTAACAATCAAAGCCTTGTGTGTACAACATCGTGGATTTATATACAAAAAAAAAAAAAAATAAATAAATAAAACCAATTATGTTAAACGTTAGGTATCCAAAAGCCACCATGAAGCGGTTATAAATTTCTTTCTACTGATTTAATTTCAATTACATTTTCGTAATAGTGGTTTAAAGTTTTTTTTTTTTTTTTTTTTTTTGGCGGAATGCCAATGAATACCACAAGAAATCATTTTATGCGTATTCGTAAGCGATTGCTTTGTTGACATAACGAAAACTTTTAAGGTAATCAGTGAATTTGTTGTTTGTATTATTTTTCTCGGTCTGTTAATAATTTCATTTTTCATTTGACCTTGATTTTATTTCAATTATATACGATAATGACTTTTATTTTCCTATTAAGCTGAGATTATTTTCGATGCCTACATATCAATAGTAATGAGAAATGACTTATGATGTTGTGTTGTGTGTAAAGAATTTTGTGAAATATATTTTACACACCTTTGCGCAGACAGAATGAAATCGTGTGTTGCAAGCGCAGACACATTCTTATAAGATGAGCAATTAGAATATCGTAAACTCATCTGTCTGTAATAAATAATTTGCATTTTTTTGCAATCATCGAAGATGAGCCTGACAATGTAAAGCGAAACAAAAACAAAAAAACAAATTCCAAAGATTTGTCATCTAGCGTAAAGAAGACGCTTTTTGGCAGCTTTTGTTTCCAGCTGGGGGGACGGACTATTTCGATCCTTTTGATTTTTGTCGTAAATATGAAGGCGGTATCTTCAAGTTTGGGCCAAACATTTCTTCAACGCTTAAGAGTTCAATGGTAAGAAATGGTTGTGATCTGCCAACATACACGCCCCACAACAACATTCATGTTTTCGACTTCGTAAGGATATTTCAGAAAATCTGTCACGTAAACGTTCGTCACCTAAATGTTTGTCACATCTACCCGCGAGAAAATTTTGCTTCCAAATTATTTAAAATTGGGTGGAAAAATGCTAATATATGTTGAAATAAATTGGAAATAAATTGGAATTAAAATTTTATCGCAAATTGTAGCCGCGTTAACGGGACTATCTTCGGACTGAATAGGAAGGTGATCTTGACGATCCTTTGAGTCACTGGTCTTCAGGAACATTTCCAATGTCGATTAAAATTTGTAGACAAAGATATAAAAATGATGCGGACCTTTTGTTAGCAACAATACTGCGGCCAAAAAGTAAGACCAATATTCAAGTTAAATTAAAAATTGAATTGCTCTTACTTGTTGGACCCAGTAGTAGATGTATGTCATCGGCATCTCGAAAACTAGGCCACGTAGAAAAAAATTTTATGATAGATATTTTAAAGGTCTTTTCATATAAATCAAAAAATTTTGCAACATTACATGCTTTACGAGTTTATGGTTTATTTGTGGCTATCTATCTCAAAATTTCAAAAATTAAAGCAGTAAGCTGAAGCAACAAATGAACAACAAATAAAAAAAAAATTATTTTAAGACATGTCAGGGACTTCCGTCATTTGTCGCTTCTTGATGATCGTAACAACCTCATGCCTACAGTTAAAACCAATCTATGATTTTTTAAAGTTTTTCCCACTTTCAACTTTCATCTCTAAGCGTAGAGCATATGCATAGAATGCATATCCAGTATTCAACTTTGGATGTCAAAGATTTTTCAGTTTGAATATGCCTACCGTAGGGCAGACCGATCGCCACTCATAATCGGATCCACAGAAACGAATTTATTACTTCATAGTGGTAGGCAGTGACCAGCCACTCATAGGATGCCCCCTATAAGTAAGGTCATAGGGATCGTTACATCATTCTTCTTCTTGTTAGTCGATCACTACAAAACCTCAAGGACGTCGATCTTTAGTATATATATATTCATACTTGAAGGTAATTTATAATTTTAAAGGGACGATCGATACGGTCTCCACTGGCGTGACCGTAAGGACGAAGCATTTATTAATGACTATTTAAGCGATTTAATCCTTCCGCATATGCAACTAAAATTCTACAGAAAATAACGTTGCCTAAGCTCTTGACTAAAGCGGCGGAAAAACTATCAGATATATTGGAATGAATTAAGGAAATTGGAGTAGAAAGTAGACAAGACAAACAACTCTTAAGAACATATGAACGGTTTTTACTTAAGCAATGTCTTCAGTGAACTTATAACTCGATCCTAAACGATTAACCCTAAAAATAGAAGAAAATTACTGCGAAGCCCGGAGTGCAAGAGCAGGAACTTATACGAATTAAAAGCAATATTTTCCAACATAAATATTTATTTTAAGCTAACAATAATCTTTAACCGTTACTTTTCTAATAAGCATAGGAGATGAGTGGCGAAGCAAAAGTAGTTTTCACAAACGCCGGACTTGCTATTACGGGAGCAGCTGTTTTTACGACTGGCACGGCAGGAGCAACGGCGACTGGTGCATGGTGAGCAACAGCAACTGGTGCATGATGAGCAACAGCAACTGGTGCAGCAGGTATGGCGGCAACGAGCGGTTCGCGACGAACAACAGCATTAAAACCATTTACAGGATCGGCGGTATAATCAACAATACGTCTGTAGCCGTCAGCATCATTTAAGGAATATTGACCTCGTACTATGTGACCATCACGAGCTTCTACGGCAGTTTTCGAGTCGCCAGAAAGTGCATCCTTGACATCATAGCCGTATGTATACTGAGGATGAGGATCGTACTCTTCAAGTTTCCCAACAGCTACAACAGGCGCAGGATGAATGACACCAGCATTAACAAACGCAAAGCCACTAATAGCCAATATAACGGTGAACTAAGATGGGTTAAAGCGTGAAAAGCAAAAAAAAAAAATATGAAAATATTTTTCTGTTAGAGCATAACATTGTTATTAAAAATGAAAATTATCCTTACTTTGAAAATCATTTTTGTTAACAAAATGTATGAACTCTTCGAACTCTTCGTTGCTCTATATAACAAAAATGGTTGTAAACTATAATATCAAGTTGACCAAACGTGTCTTTTTATATCAAAAAAGACAAGAGATATTTCAAAAAAGCCAACAAATAAAAACCGACAAATATTTTAATATAAGTTCGTGTCTTTTTCATAGGTTTACAAATAAATTCAAGGCAACACAAACGTAAATTGAATTTTAACTCAATGGACATAGGGTAAGTACAGTAACACACTCACTTATACTGCATGATCGCTTGCTTAATATAACGTACGCACTATTTATCCGCTTACGTGCAAACTGCATATGTCTTGTACGTATATATATATATATGTGATTAGATTGTCTCAAAAGTATTTAGCCTTAAAAGGTCGTAGTTTAGAATTCATTTATTGTTTTCAATTTAGCTTAATTTAGGAAAAATAAACAGGTAATGGGCCATAGGGGCCTTTATAAAGCACTCTACATCACCCTACAATTATTCATATTACGACTTTTCAATGTAAAGCGTAATATGGGAACAAATAGCAAGACTCGACAAAAGTAATGCGCGATCGAAATTATTCTCGATGGCGTTCATTCTTGCACCAAAGCATGTCTGTGTACAAACAAAACAAGAAGGCGGACAGGCGGACACACAACGTTAGTAGAATCGCTTCTTGGATCCATCAGCTAAATCTGTCCCAAACCCTTCTGCGTGTTATATGCATAGACAAAAATTTAATAAACCCTTGCACCTTTTGCCGTAGGGTATACCAAGGCCAAGGAAGCATTTTGAAATTCGAAGTTTCCATAAGAAATGTGAGTGAATAGTCGTTATTTTGCATACGAAATGTAATCAATGTTTATAGCGATTTGCGCTTCGACGCTTACTGAAATCAAATTGTAAAAAGTGAAGAAGCCCTGCGGGAAGATTAATCTTCTCCAGCTCTCCATCTATCTATCATTTAAAATTCTTATTCCTTTCGGTATTAGAATATCTACCTGATGACACGACCTTTGACTCTCCACGGCTTTTTCGTAAACGAAAGGCGCAATACTTTTTAAAATAACTAATAAAATATACATCAAAATGACTAATTTTTCGTTATCGATTATGTTAAAACAAAACGCAACACTATATGAAACTAAGGTGTATTCATTTATGACAGTTAAACGAGTGCAAAATGCATAATAATATGAAATGCAATAATTAAAATAAAAATATTGGTATGAATGTAAATCCCACCTGGTCTGCAACTACTTACCGTTCCTATCAAGTGCGTGTCAGACATTTCGTCATCATTTAGCACGCACTGCATGCCATTATTACCAATACAAATACAAATTGCTATATGGAAAAAAAGTTACGACAGCATAAATCTGTCAAAATCAAAATGCAGCTCAGGCGTCTGCCTAAATTGCATGCAAGTAACTCAGGCGAAAAAGTAGTCAACGAAAACACTGAAAAACATCAACTCATTAGTGTGTAATTTGTTTCCTCCTCTTTCATGCCATCTTCACTTTGATTTTTTTCTCTTTTTTTTTTTTTTTTTTTTTTTTTTTTTTTTTTTTTTTTTTTTTTTTGGTTTTTGTTATTGTCTTATTATCAACGCTTTTTATTATTAATAACATGATGGGATTATTTAAGCCAGACATTCATTGATAATTGTTGAGCTGCATATATATTCTACAAATAAGTACAAAAGCTTTTTAACAAAAAGGAGGGAAGCTCAAAAGTAGGTCAAGACTCATTTTCCAACATATTGGAGAACGTATTCCTTTCTGATTAAAAACATTTCTTCATACCAATATTGCTCTGTCCGTTATAAATTATTGGCCTAACGCTAGGGTGGGTTGAGGGCCGGGGGCGTCTAACTTAGCCCTAATACGTATAGGGATCAATCTAATCGTTTACGGAACCTATAAATTACTTTACCCGTACAATTGTTCTAATTTTATTTTATTTAGTTTTTTTTATTTTTTATTTTTACATTATTTATATTATTTTATGTAGGGAAAGCTAATTTGCCCCTAATATATATGAGGATTGATCTATTATTATTATTATTATTATTATTATTATTAATTTCACCAGAGAAATAAATTCTAAGACTAAACTCTTAAAAGCACTAGCATCTAAGGCTATCGGCTTTTATTAAAAACTCTACCGCACTTGAGATTCGAATCCACGGCAATTGACTTGCTAGTCGAGATTCCTCCCCTTCGGCTACTCAGGAGGATGAGGATTGATCTAATCGTCTATGGAACCTTTAAGCTTTTCTACCTTACAATTATCTTAATTTTATTTGATTTACTGCACACTCACTCAAGTGAATTAAACCAAATCGTTAACTTTTATTATTAGCACTAGAGCTACATGCATGGGTTATTACGAACTTTTCGAACTTTTGATCTTAAAAACAAATGGAAACGCTTTAGGAAGGCACGGACACTCTTGAATACCCTACACGATATTACAATTACCTGAAATTAAATGTTATAGGGGAAGCGGTCGAAAACTAAGCTAATACGATTTCATTTTCCATAACGTTCGCCCTTGAGCAAAGACACGTCAGCGTGCCAAATGTCATCAAAATATCTCAATATTTTCGGACTGCAGGCTGTATATAAAAAAATAAGACAGACAAACTGCTTACCTTAATTATATGTAAATATTATTATTATTATTATTATTATAAATTTAGCCAGAGAATAAATTCTAGGACTAAAGTCTTAAAGCACTAGCATCTAAGGCTTTCGGCTGTGTTAAAAACTCTACCGCACTTGAGATTTGAACCCACGACCATTGAGTTGTTAGTCGAGACCCTTGCCTACTCGGCCACTCAGGCGGATATATATGTAAATATAATAAAGGTGAGTGTATAAAATATTTAAAGAGTGTTGCATACATCCGCATAAACTTGATACACCCTTGCTCTACAAGTAGGGTATAAAATAGTTATAAATCACGCATCCTACGATCATGGTCTACAATTTATTCTACCAAAAGGATCCTTTCCAATCTCTTTTTTACTCACTTGCCACTCTCACTTTTGAACTGAAAAAACGATAGGAATAAAAACTTTATTGCAGATTTTGTTCCAGTAATCTGTAGCATCTCAGAGGGAGCATTAAATATTCCTAACTTCGCTACATTTAAAAAACAACGCTTCGAGTTTTCGAGATAATAGTACACACCTTTCTAAGAGTTCTAAAACCGTGCAGATCGTAGCCGTGCTTGGTGATATCGAAACGCAGAGAAAATGCTTGAAATAAATTTGGTTTAGCTTTCATAACAGGCAGACGTTAGCTTAATTTACGCTACCTTTTCAACAGAAATCAATCTAATATCATTCTCCATGTATCGCATTCCCCTCATATGGCCCAGAGCGATTATTTTTTCGAGAAAGCCAACTTAACAGAAAGAACTTTACATTAATGTTCGAATTACAGTCAATCCTGTTTTTGTGCGGTTGATAGGGACCACAGAAAAAAAACCGCACAAAAAAAAATATTCAAAAACTTCATAAATAACTATAAGAAATAATTTTTCACAGCATATTAAAGAAAATTTTTTTTATGCGGTAGAGAGGGACCGCATAAAAAAAGTCTCACTTAGAAAATATGTCAAAGCTTCACGAAATAGCAAGAAAGCAAACAAAATAAATAATTAAATTACACATTGAAACATTTAAAAAAATTTTAATTTCTAATTTTAAACAAGGAGAAATTTTCAATGCAATATATGCATAAGAACATTGAGCATGCCTAATGAAATAGGCTGATGCAAAAGGTATGAAAATGGCTGTTGCAATGTATACATATACACTGATAGCAAAAAAAAAGTGATGCCAACACAGTTCAGATTGACCTAACCTCTCGGCGAAATTCAAAGTGTCGATATTCATATACCGCACAAAAAAAAATCGCACAAAAAGAATCGCACAAAAAGAATCGCACAAAAAAAAGCGCATAAAAAAACACCGCACAAAAACAAGTTTGAGTGTATGTTAATTTTTAAAATAAAAATTTCCCTTATTTTTTTGATCCTCCTAATCAGCTATGAAAGGACATCAACAGATTAAATCATAATAGCGAAATTCCTAAATTTTTACCTCCTCAGTTATATTTAACCTTACATTTGAGAACAAGTTAAGTCAGGTCTCTTTCTTTTCTATGAATAACTACAAGTCTTGAGTAGAGAAATGAGTGAAAAATGATTTACTTCAATAATTAAATCAGTGACTGTCGTCCACATTTGCGTTTAAAGATAGTTGCGAGTGTATAGTATAGCTCTAGATCTAAGAGCTTTGTAAGACACGCTTAATATTTTTGCCATAACGCAAACGAATCAACCAACATTAAAATTCTCTCTAGTTAAATTTCTTTCTGCGATACTATTATATATACAAGCGATTCTAGAGCAAATGATTCCAAACAAATGGATCTAACTTCTATTTAATGTATGTGGACAGCCCTCGACATGACGCCGGAATGAATTATTAAGATTTACATGTTGCCAAAACTATTGAACTCATTTCGTGATATCATAACAAACCATAAATATAAAATATGTAGACATATATATATATATATATATATATGCACATGTATGTACATATAAAGTCAATGCAAATTGATTTAAAACAACTGATATAACGTGTGACAGAGTTTTGTAATGCAATGTTTGTGTTCATTGAAATCATCATTTATTGTCGATAATACCATCGCATTAAAATGTTTAATGATAATGAACATAAGAGACATGATGCGGTGAGGTAATTGAAGTTGTCTTTACAACAGTCGGAGTATGATGCGTGATCACGGCGGGTGCTGCTGCGGCTGTCTTTAGCAAAGTAGTAGCAGCTGGCGCAGTATGCACAAAATGCGTAGTGGGAGTCAAATGAACAGTAGCTGGCGGTGCATGAATTACACTTGGCTGATGATGTACCAGAGTAGGCGATGTGTAGGTGCGAATGTAAGCAGCCGGTTGTACATATGTTTTGACAGCATATTTATCTTTTACGGGCGATTGAACTGTAATCGGAGTAGTGGATGACTGTAAAAGCGGTAAAGCGGTAGATGGTGAAGTAGCTGCAGGAAATTCAATTGCTGCCATTTTCGCAAGAGTTTGCTTGTTGTTGTATATCTCGGCTGGGCCACGTATTACGTGAGCTTTAAATCCGTTTTCTGCATCGGCTGTATATTCTACGGTACGTACAGAGCCATCCGCCTCCCTAAGCGAGTATTCCCCTTGAACTAGATCGCCGTCACGAATCTCTGTTTGAGATTTAAAATCGCCAGTTAATTCATCCTGAACATTGTAAGAGAACTTATAACTAGGATGAGAATCGTAGTGTTCCAATTGCTCATTTATTGCGCTTTCAGGCAAAACGGCGCCATTAACTAAAGCAAAACAAGCAATTAAAGCTATAACCTAAAAAAAAAAAATTTTCTTAGCAGAAATACTTTTAAAATATAAACATTAAAAAAAAAAAATTGTGTTTTTTTTTTCTTGTCGAAAACCTACTTTAAAATCCATTTTATATTATTGGAAGCTTGCTAAAGTTATTTAAATGGTTTTTCTTAACTTTATGAAATATCTCTTAATAATACAAGAGTTGTCTTCGCACTGTTGCCTGTAATCCCGAAAGGTATCATTTATATATCAATACATGACATTGCATTTTATACGCAGCGCAGAACTTGACTTATATGCGGTAATTATGTGTTATGTTGTCTCAATATACATTTAAATTGTACATATGTTTGTAGATGTATTGATCCTCTCAAGTACCAGTATGTAGGCAAGATGACCCAATGCCCTAATGAATTCTCAAAGGAACAGGTAATATGGACGCAAAGCGCTGCCAAGGTCACAATCATTCATGTTCCACATCGTTACCCAGCCAAAAACACACACTCATAATTTATTCAATAAACACTTGACTCAAAATCCTAAAGAAAAGCACAGGCTAGGCATCATCAGGGTGAATGCATCTGTTTTTTCTGTGCAAACGAACCAGTTTCTTTTTTTTTTTTTTTGCGATTTAAATTTTTTCTCTTCGATTTAATAACTGTGGTTTTTTTCACTTCACAATTTTTTTTTTTCTTTGTACTCAATTCACTTGCATTTAACGTTCAATTAGAATTTTGAATGGCTTTAGCTACAGCCTCTTCTATAGTTGATTTCGATAATACTAAAAGTATGCTATAGAATTTTATTATTTAACTCATGAGAGCAAAGAGACATTTAAAGTCAGAGGTAGCCAACGCGTACACGTCGCTCTAACTTCTTACGTTTTACTATGAACGTAAATACTTATTAGACATTTTTAGAATTTTAAATTGCTTATTAACGATCGAAAATTATAAAATTAAAAAAAAAAAATTATAAACAATATCTTTCTTTTATTGTTACTTAATATTGAGTTTGTTGTTAATTATTATTTGTTAATTATTTATATAAGGTATCTAATCTTAAAGAAACCATTACAAATAGTCAATTGGGCCACGGTGCACCATTTAATACCCTGCACTTAAAGTTATTCACGTATTGACTTTTCAAAATAAGGCCCGATTATGTATGGTTATAAATGATCGAAAAAGTGATCTGACCAGAACACTTTTCAATAGTTGTCGTCTACGGGTCAAAACTTATCAACGTACCAAATTTCATCAAGATATCTCCATTCATAATTAAGGCCTGTAGGTTGAACACAAATAAACAAGTTAGACAAGCGGACAAACAAGCTTACATCGAAAAGATATAACGAGAAGTGAGTCTTTCTCAAGTCCTTCTGATCAGCACGTTATTTATATGACGACTTTTCAAAATAAACCATTGTATGCAAAGTGGATAGGCAAACTTAAACCGCTTCAAAAAATGATTCCGGATCAATCTATACAATGAAAGGTGGGCCTAAGTTCTTCTTGGTGGTGTACACTTGTACGACAAGGTCACGTTACGTGCCGTGTAAATGTGTTAACACGTATTAGAAGTCTGTCAATTTTCAACACATGTTCAAACGCCACATGTTTTATAAATATAGCCTGAATTGATCTAAGCCTATTTGTTCGTCTTATGTCTGTCCAACTTTTTGAAATTTGGTACGTGTTTTGACCCAAGGACGAACGCCATTGAAAATGATTCGGATTCGTCCATTTTTTCGATAAAACGTACTATTCTGAAAAGTCTTTATATGGAAAAAAATTTTAATTTCCAAAATTTCTCGGAAAAAAATATTTCGGCATTCTAAAATTGGTGTGTAAACTTTGGACTGGCTAGGGCAATTTTTCAAACCCCCTCACATAATGAGGGTAAAAGTTCTGACGACAAAGAGGTATAATTTTCAATGCTTCACGATGAAAGTTTTTCCATAATGGTAATTTAATATAAAAAAATTAATTGTGCCACATTTGAACTATATAGGCCTATTTTTTGGATTCAACCCGAATAGGGAGTTTCATGAAAATTGATCCTTTTTAAAGAAGAAAAATGTAAGTCTTGATTGACCTATATGGTATTTTCATACAAAAATGAACGCTACAAAATTTAGACAATGTACACCTATTTTTGGATATGCACATGACAAAATTATGCCTTTATATGGAGGTAAGATATTTGTGTTCTGTAATAAAAATAAGAGTTGTGTTAGACAATGTGATGTAGAGTATTTCATGGCCCGCCTTGTCCGACTATAATGTTCTTACTTGTTTTTATTCCTTATTTCCTTGCAATTGCTCTCTCTCTTTCTCTCTCTTTCTTTTTTCTTTCTCTCTTTCTCTCCCTCCCTCTCTCTCTCTCTCTCTGTTCGTCGCTCTATTTTCTAAAGCAACTGACGTAATAATGGTTTCAAATGGCTACAAATCTTCCGAATAAGATCGAGAGTCCCTTCAAAACGTTTTACTCTCCAGCAAACACCGGTTTAAATTTCAAATCGATTGTCAGTTAAAGCAATCTAAATATGTGTACATAATATAGTGTCGGCGTTCGATAATATGTTTTCCAATTAAAAAGAAACTTATTACTTTGTAATACTTATAGGGGGAAGCTTACCACTTCTGAACGTTGCAAACGAAACGATCAAATTTTTATATCTCTTTCTTTGAGATTCGTTGCATGCGTTCATGTGCATCTTTGCACTTGCATTTGTATAAAATATTCTAATGATGTGTGAAACAGAATTTAACAAAATGTCATTTTAATCGACCAATAATGTTGCGATCCCTTTGAATGCCTTGTTATTGGCTGTTCTGATGGCTATTCAACGTATATTTTATTCACTCTAACGATGTGGAGTTTTAAACTACCTGATTAGTGGTTATACTATATGTATATGCGAATGTATGTGCATGTTTGTGTGTCACATTAAAGGTGATAACGGTAAACATTTGTTGCCGGTTAAATTAAAAGTGATTTAAAATACTTTATAACGGCAATAAAATCTCAGTGTATATAACTTTTGATAATTAAAAGCAGCTGACGATAGTATTTACTTTGATTATCATTATTTATAAATGTGTTTTATTTGAAGGGAGCTTACTATATGAGATTTATTCGATTGCTAAAAATTTAAAAAATATCAAGACATCAAGTAATCAAAGCTCAAAAACTCAATTTTACGTTCAAAGAGACAATCTATTCTAATAAAAACACTCTATTAAGTTGTTTTACATCCTACACTGCACCTACAGTAAAGGCATATTAAATTTGTGTGTACATATGCAACACATAGAAAGACTTAAGAGAAAGCCGCCCTTGGTTATAAGAATTAATTTAGAAATATTTGATGAATTGGTTTAAAAGTGTCCGTCCCTCTTCCAACTAATCTTTCTCGTGTCTGCCCAGGCTTATTCGTGCTCAACCTGCAGATCATTCATATTTTGTGCATATTAATAGATCCAAGGAACTATGCTATTGATCATACCCCATACAAGGTCACATATATTGAAAGGTGTATAGAAAATTATTTTGGCAATTTTTAATATTCTTGGACAAAAATCTATCACAATTAACACTTTAGTATATAAATGCGAAAAAATAAAAACTTAAAAAGGAAACAATTCCTTGTACAACAAAAAGATGAAAATTTTACTATTTTATAATGAAAATATCTCCAGAATAGCAATTTGTCTTATAGACTTGCTCTGACAACTCAGCCTTTAGATTCTTTGAAAAGTAATTTCCTTTTTTCCACTCGCGGATTTAATTGCAATTTTTCAAATCCCGAATGTGACACATTTAAGGCGCGCTGTCTTCATATATTTGACAGCTGATATCGTAATGCTTGTGTGGAAAAACTGTTGTTTCAATCTGTCCAAAAGTTTTCATTTGAAGTGTGGAGGATAGTCGAAAGCAGCCTTTTCGACAAAATGGTAAAAACGATGTTCGAACAAAAAAAAAAGGAATTATTGGATGCGTACGAAAGCAATGAGTGGATAGCCAGCCAGTGTGAAAACTGATTTACAAAATTGCGTTTCGGTGCTTTTGAAGCAAAATTCCGTTTGACAACTCGTGAGATCGCTGAGAGTCTAAATTTGATAAAATGTCTATACACTACAATAAGTCACGTTAATCCACTTTTCGAGTTTCGAGTTTGCCTGTATAACTATTCTCATCAAAACTAAACCTTAGTGCGCCAGTTTAGCCCAATTTTAAGTATTTCACTATAAAACTATGTAAGGAAGAAGTTCTTTGCCAAGAAAATTAACTTCAGTAAATACGGATGAGTTTACCTTAAGTTTTCGATTCCTTTCCATATACCAGCTTTCATAAAAAGTAAAGCTTTACCTAAAAGTAAAACAAAATTTAATCCCTTTTTAGAACAACAAGTTAAAAATAGTGTCATGGGGTAGGACATTTAAGAGTCGCGCTTGCTCGATTCTACGTTAAACCTTAAAATTTCTTTTAGGTTTGTGGTATAACACGGATTTAGTATTACATCGACTTTATAAGAAACAACGGGTGACTGTTGAGACATATATAGTAACTGCAGTTTGTTAGTTCAATTTCCACAAAGAAAATACCAAAGAAAATCAAGACATTTTTCCTGCTTGCTTATTGCTTTGAAGCCTTTAGAATTTATGAAGGATTACAACTAGGTTAGTATTTTTGTTTTTTTCTTTTTTTCTGTTTCAAAGGAGAACTAGAAAAGTAAATAAAACTAGAAGCGAAGATTATCAGCTTCACTTCGCTTCCTCGAAAGAGGATCCATACCTCTTCACTTCAGCTAGCATCAAAAGTAGTAGTCATCTCGAATGTCCTATTTTGTTTCTTAAGTTGAAGAAAAAAATTTTTCTATTTTTAACCCTATTTTTACCAAGAGGTGTCAACAGACACCATTCAGATTTTTACTTAACTTTATTCTCTAAGTTTCATCATTTTTCCGGAATTAATTGCTGTTTCTTTAAATTAATTCAACAATAGAGATGCCTTTTGACATCTTAAGGATTGCCTAACAGAGTCTAATTGTAAACCATTTTACATATAAATATCAACACCATTTTGTAGCATCATATCAATCGGAATCTGCTTGGGGAATCCCGATTTCACTTGTAACGAAGGACACTTTGATATTTGCTTCTTTTTCGCCTTGTTGCATTTTACTGTAGGTCA